CCCTCAGGAGGAGAATAATGAGGCTTCTGGGGGAGCTGGGGCTAAGAGGGGTATTTTTTTTTAACTTTCCCTTCTCTTCAGAGCAGGACAACCTCTTCCCAATGCCCTGGTTTCCCGCAAGACCTGCAAGTGTCTGGAGGCGAATAGGGAGCCCTCTGAGTGGCTTCAGTTTCCTCCCACAGTCACAGTTTTCTTCTCTAAAGATTCAAGTTGAAAAGTGAGATGAGTTACATTTAAGTCATTTTTTCTTTTACCTTCCTGCTATTTTCAAAGAACTGTGTGGCAGCCTCCATGATTACACTTAATGGTTTCCCAAACCAACCAACCACACTATATGGAATTTGTTTTTTGATATCAGAAAGAGAATTTCCTACTAAAGCAGAAATTAGGAGATTCCTCTAGACTGGGGCTTCCGGGTGTAATGCACTGCCCCTTTGAAAAGTTTGTGTAAAACGTTCAACAAAGGCTTTTGGATGTTCCTCATTCTGAGTGCATAATTCCCGTTTTGACCATTTACCTTCAGGAGGAAACAGCTCTAAAATTGCTCCCATTCACCCTTGAGTGTCAGCCTCCAGCAGAGCACCTTCCTGGTCAATTGCAGGAGGGCCTGGGAGAGGGTCTGGCCCTCTATTTCCCCTGTGAGGCATTTCCTCCAGGGGGCCCCCTGGCCTGTCTGATAACTACAGTGTAATCCTGGGCTGGAAGAACCCCCTTAGCAGCCAGCCACGATCTCTGTGGGTGGGGTTATGAATAGCCACTGACCTTTCTGAGTCCTCTCTAAATTTAGTGGGATCTTCTGACCGTGGAGGCAGGAGAGGTTTATAATGTAATAGATGGGCTGTGTCCAGGGGACATGAACTGCCTGCAGCGGAGGTCCAGGGCACATCCACAGTGGACCCTGCGTGGACTGCCTGATGCCGGCAGAGCCTGATGACAGAGCCCTGGAAAGAAGGAGGACTTGGAAGGGGCAGCAAAACAGCCTTCCTGCCTTTCCTGGCTGCTTCCACTGAATTCACTTCCTGGCTTCAGCATTTACACCAGTGACCTGTGTGCCCCTAGCTTGGGGGTCAGGCCTGAGGGCCCCTGTGAGTCTCCTAAAGAGACGACAGTGAAGATGGGCAGCTGGATGCTGTCTGGAGAAGCTGGGGTTTTAGGATCTGAGGAAAGTGGCTGTGGAGCTAATTCTTGAGAAGGGGAGTTGAAACCAGGGACCCAGAGACCCACCAGATCTTCTAGGGGGTCAGGGACAGGGACCTGGGGGTATAGGGGCGCATAGGAGGGAAGAGAAGGGGAATTTCCCTTAAATTTGCTGTTCAATCTTTGTTCTAAGTCTGACTTCTCTTCTTTCGTTTTATTAAGGGATCTCCTAGGGCTAGCCATTATATTTTGGGGGGTTTTCTTTTCAATTTGATCTTCCCATAAATATCAGTAAGTCAGCTGCTTGTGAGGAGAGCACTCTCAAATAGTTTTCAAATATAGATGTTGTGCAATTCAAAGGATCCATCATCTGGCCAGTGATGAGGAGGATCTCCATTTGTATATTTATTCCAATAGCAACTTGATCCAATGAACCTTTTTCAGGAAAGACCTGGAGGCAACTTTCCAGGCTGAGAATTAATCTCTACCATGGACACAGGAGGCATTCCTGGGGAGGGCACGGATGCTGTGGCCCCCATGATCTAAAGGTTCACTCGCCAAAATAGTCAGAGAGAGTAAGGAGCTTCATTGGTCAGGCGATAAGGATGGTGTAGTGAAAACGGTGTCTCCAGGCTCCCATGAGAGCATGGGATGCCTCCAGTCACAGACCTGCTAATCTGTGACACCAGGCAGGACCTACTGGAGTGGGAATTTTCCAGAGCTAACAAGCAGTGAAGGTTGAGATGACAAGCGCCTTCATGGACTGGACCCTTTATGACAAACTCCCCTGAGAGCTTGGCACTGCTGGACAGACAATGCTCAGGACCCCAGTCTATTAGACTGACCACCAAGGTGCACTCTGTTAATTGCACCTTTCAGATGATGGAGACCAAAGAGAATCTTCTCACTGGTCAAAAAACTATGTTTTCAGGACACAGAACAAGATGGAAGGAAAACCCTCATCCACTTTTTTTCTCATATGCACAATAATAGCTTTAGCTATGCCTTGGGTTTCTCGGAGCCAAACTAACACCTACGAGGGGTGTGCCATGGAGTTGGGGATTGTGTGTTTTACATTGTACCTCATTGCACAGAAATTTTCTTGAGGTTGTCAGGGAACCTCATGTCATCTACCCTGTTCCATGACTAGCATGTCCTAGCATGGGAGTCTTCCTGAGGCAGCAAGTACCCTAATGTCTCTTAACTGCTTAGCCCATACTCACCAGTATTGTGGCATTTTGGCTCCTAAGATGTCCCTTAGCAACAGCTTTTTCTCACATGTATATGAACCTACAGCAAAGTTTGTGTAAATCGATACCAGTCTGTTAAAAACACAAACTCAGCAGCCTGTGGGGCTGGCCCAGACAACTATCTTATAGGGCCTATGCCCGCATCCTGCTCTATGGTATTTCCTTCTTATGACATATGACACAAAAGACAGAAAAAAAGAAAAAATACAGTGACCATCTCTGGGAGGAAAGGCATCAATAAAGCCAACAGTACTCCGACAAATTTACCAGAGTCACTAAAAAGCACAAGAAACTAGCTTCCCAAATATCTTCCCCTGCGAATCCAAATTTAGAAAGAGAAAAAAATTCTTACCACTTGCTTCCACCAGACCCGGCATATAGAGATTCCGAGAGGCTGACATGGTAGAAATCTTATCTCTTGCCAGACTTCCTCAGGTGACCCAGGATCTCCTCATCTGCAGCCATGCTAGCAGTTGTTTGAACCAGAGAAGGCAGCTTGCCAGCCAATGGGTATCCTGCCAGCTACACCAAAACTGTAGGGGAAGAGGGAGAATTCTTCCCCTTTTCCCTTCTGGTTCGTAAGGCTGGTCAAAGAATTAAAAATGACATAACACAGGAGAACAGCAAACAAAGTTTAATATGCATACATGGGGAACTCACATGAGCGGGAAGAATTCCAAAGACAGTCAGGCAAAATGAGGTGTATGTGTCCTTCTGGGCTAAGGAGAGGGAGACAGAGGCAAGGGGGAGAAGGAAATTTACAGGAAGATGAGAAGAGTTCATATTTGGTAAACAAATGTTTGCATTGTCCCATCTACAGACCATGGGACCCAAAAGAGATCTTTTGGTAAAAGGTCCCTTGCTAGATGCCTTCCTGCCCACCACACCTAGAATTATCCATGGTAAGAGCTCATCCTGAGACAGGCCCTTCTATCTTGAAGTCTTTTGGGCAACTTGGGAGGAGATCAAATGTTCTTCCAGAATCTTCTGATCCTTGATTGTCTTCAGCTCAAAATAATCTGCACACCAGAGTGGCACATCTTGGGGCAGCCTGCCCTGAATCCTGTCAAAGGTTTGTGGCAACCCTGCATCAAGCAAGTCTATTGGCGCCATTTTCCCAACAGCATTTGCTCACTTCATGTCTTTGTGTCACATTTTAGTAATTCTCACAATGTTTCCAACTTTTTCATGATTATTTATTTGTTGTGGTGATCTGTGATCAGTGATCTTTGATGTCAGTATTGTAATTATTTTGGGTTCCCAGGAACTGTGCCCATATAAGCCAGGAAACTTTTTTTTTTAAGGAAGATTAGCCCTGAGCTAACATCTGCTGCCAATCCTCATCGTTTTGCTGAGGAAGCCTGGCCCTGAGCTAACATCCATGCCCATCTTCCTCTACTTTATACGTGGGACGCCTACCACAGCATGGCATTTGTCAAGTGGTGCCATGTCTGCACCCGGGATCTGAACTGGCGAACCCCAGGCTGCCAAAGCAGAACATGCGCACTTAACCACTGTGCCACTGGGCTGGCCCCTCAGACCTTCATCTTACCAGCGTCTTCCCTGACTCCTGCAGCCCCGACACCTCCCGGGGTCGAGGGGCCTGGATGGTGCCCCGCTGGTGGAGTCCGTGTGTTGGGATGAGGGATCAAGGAGGGTGTCTGCAGCAGTGGAAAGTGGGTGGGCTCCACACCCCACCCAGACCTGGACCTTAGCCTCTACCTGCCTCCTGAGGCCACCCCGGTGACCTGAGCTAGTCACCGACCTGGTGGCCTGAGCTTCCTCATCTGTTAGCCAGGCACAGTCATAGGGCTTCCCTAGAACCTGGGGAGCTCTGGCCTTGACCATGTGAGGTGTGGGCAGGGTGGGCTGAGTGTGTGTGGGACCATGAGGCAGGGTCCAGTGCTGGATCTGGTGCCCAAGGATTAGGGTGGGCCCTGCATGCTGAGGGGCAACAATGGGGACAGCAGGGGAGTCAGAGCAAGTCCTGTGTTGTTGGACTCAGCCAGAGAGTTCATGAAGCCTAGGGTACCTAGGGACAGGGGTGTGGCAAAAGTGACTCTGGCACTGGTGAGGCAGCAGCATGTCGAGGTGCAGGATGGGGACACAGGGCCTTGGCATTGGGCACAGGGCCCAGGGTGCCCCCCACTCTCAGTGGGGTGAAATGATAGACCAAACTGGCAAGGCAGGGGATGGGGCATGAGCATCGCTGTCTGAGGTCAGGTGGCCGCCTGGGCAAAGCCCAGGGCCACAGAGTCACTCCAATCCTGGGTCCTGGAGGCCTGGCCCCGTTCTTGGGAAGCCTCGGGTTTCCAACATGCTCTGGGATCCCAGACCACAGGAGGAGTTCCTAGCAGGGCTCCCTGGGGCTGCCCCCTTCCCATTCTCAGAGCCCCTCCCAAACACCCAGTCCCTTGCCCAGGAGGCATGCCAAAGGGTTCCCCACACTTCCCTGTGGCCTCCTGCCCACCCTACTAGCAGGCCCTCAGCCTGCCTCATCCAGCCCTGCAGCTGCCAGTGGTTCCAGGCTTGGGTCCCCAGGGCAGGGTCAGAGCAAGGACTGAAGGCTGGTCAGGACCTAGGCAGCCTGTCACTCCCCTCTTACACTTGCAGGTGCTGGCAGCTGGCTTGGTGCTCCTCTCAGCTGCCCACCATGGCCTGGGGGCTGCCCAGCACCACCAGCCTGGCGCGCTTCTGCCAGAAGCTGAACCGGCGGAAGACACTGGAGGAGCCCACCATGGAGACATCACTGCGGCGCCACCTGACTACGCTGGACCTGACCCTGCTGGGCGTGGGTGGCATGGTGGGCTTTGGCCTCTATGTGCTCACAGGCACTGTGGCCAAGTGGATGGCTGGCCCTGCGATGCTTGTGTCCTTCAGCGTGGCTGCTGTGGCCTCCCTGCTTGCAGCCCTATTCTACGCAGAGTTGGCAGTGTGTGTGCCCCTCAGGGGCTCTGCCTACCTGTTCACATATGTGTTCATGGGTGAGCTGTGGGCCTTCCTCATTGGCTGGATCATGCTCATCCAGTGCCTCCTTGGTGGATCCGCCATGGCCCGCGTCTGGAGCAGCTACCTGGACATCATCTTTAGCCACCGCATCCAGAGCTTCACCGAGGCCCATGTGGGCATCTGGCAGTTGCCCGTCTTGGCCTGGTACCCAGACTTCTTGGCTGCTGCCATCATACTTTTGGTCTTGGCTCTCGCCTCCTGTGGAGGTCGCATCTCTTCCTGGTTCAACCACACCTTCTCTGCCATCAGCCTTGCCATCATCACCTTCATCATCATCCTGGGGTTTGTCCTGGCCCGTCCGCACAACTGGAGCACTGAGGAGGGTGGCTTTGCACCCTTTGGTTTCTCTGGCATCATGGCTGGTGCTGCCACCTGCTTCTACAGCTTCGTGGGCTTTGGTGCCATTGCTGCCTCCAGCAAGGAGACCCAAAACGCAAAGCAAGCTGTTCCTATGGCCCTTGCCATCTCAGTTGGTCTGGTGGCTGGTGCCAACATCCTGGTCTCCACTGTGCTCACCCTCATGGTGCCCTGGCATAGCCTAGACCCTAACTTGGCACTTGCTGATGCCTTCCTCCAGCGGGGCTATAGCTGGGCGGCCTTCATTGTGGCAGCTGGTGCAATCTGTGGTAAGTGGCCCTTCTGAACAAGGTGGGAGGGAACAGGGTGGTGGGACCTTGCCCTAAGCCTCCAGAGCACACATCTCCATCTGGGCCTGTGCTCCCAGTTGCATCCTGGGCCCATGATTAAACTCTCCACCTGGACTTCTTGGGAGGGAGCACTCACCGCCCCTCCCAGTCATACACGGAATGTCAGTTCTGAGCATGTGCTTCCAGATCCTTCAAGGCAGAGGGACTCAGTCCTCATCAGATTCTCCAGTGGGTCTGTCACCTAAACTGGGCTGTCCCATTCCTGGGTGGTGAGGGGGAACAATCCAGCACCGACTCTCAGAACCCAGACAAACTCATGCTCGTGTTCCCAAGGGGCCACCCATGCCCTGGCCCCCAGCAGCAGACCCAAGTGGGCCTGTGCACCATGCTGACCAGTCTCCTACTCTCCTCCACAGCCATGAGCCCTCTCCTGCTCACCATCTTCTTGTTCGTGCCACGCATGGTCTGTGCCATGGCTGCCGACGGGCTCTTCTTCCAAGTGTTTGCCCACGTGCACCCCCGGACACAGGTGCCTGTGGTGAGCCTTCTGGTGTTTGGGGTCCTCATGGCTTTCCTGGCGCTGCTGCTGGACCTCCAGGCACTGGTCCATTTCCTGTCCATTGGAACACTTCTGGTCCTCACTGTCCTGACCACTAGCATTATCATTCTACGCTTCCAAAAGGCCCCTCCATCCAGTTCTCAGGGCCCAGGCAGCCCTGTGGGCACTGAGCAGGCCTCAGCCCCTGAGCCTGGGCAGCTGCGACCAGCCCTGAGGCCCTACCTCCGCTTCCTGGGTGGCTGCAGGCCTGGGGCCACCGTGGCTTGGGCCCTCGGTGTCCTGTTGGCCTCGGCCATCACCCTGGATGGCATGCTGGTCTTTGGGGACTCGGCCCTGCACCTCCCACCCTGGGGCTACACCCTGCTGCTCCTGCTCAGCTCCGCCACGTTTCTGCTCAGTCTCCTCGTCCTGGGGGCCCACCAGCAACAGCGCCGGCAGGACACCTTTCAGGTACTTCCTCCAGCCAGCGCCCACCGTGCTCAGCCCAGCCAGCTCCCTTCACCCCTTCCTCCTCTGCGGTGGCAGGATGCACCAGGGCCTCAGGGCGGGGGAGGCCAGTGCCCCACACCCCTCTCTCTGCATGGCGGGTGGGCCTTGTCTCCAGAATCTCCAGAGGCAGAGAAAGGCTCTGTGGACTCCAGAGAAATCAGGCCCTGGGCCAGCAGCCCTTCCCTGCAGCCCAGCCCAGCCCTTGTCCCCTCAGGTTCCCATGGTGCCCCTGACTCCCGCCCTGAGCATCCTCCTCAACATCTTCCTCATGCTGCACCTGAGCTACCTGGCCTGGCTGTACCTCTCTATCTGTCTGCTGACTGGTGAGTGGGGGCCGGGCTGGGACCCCGTGGGGGCAGCCGGGGGAGAGCAAGCAGGGAGGTAGGGCTGGGACCTGTCCCTCAGGTTTGTGCCACACCTGCAGGACTCGCAGTGTATTTTGGCTACGGCATCAGGCACAGCAAGGAGAACCAGCGGGAGAGGCCAAGGTTGACTGTCCCACACGGCAGCCTGGAGGAGATGGTGCCAGCCCTGCAGCCCCCCAGCCAGGCACCAGCCCAGGAGCCCGACCACACGGAGCAGCCTGCCAGTCCATGAGGACCACAGGGGGCCTGCCCTCCCTCCCCCACCTCCTCAGGAGCTGGAGGGGCTGGAAGCTCCTTCTATCCAGGGCAGCTCGGGTTTACAGGCCTGCCCATGCCGGGGGCCCCTCAAGACCTCAGGACCTTAGCCCAGGTGCCAAGCTTCAAGTCCTTGGGAGTGGGTCGTGGCCAGCACTGGTGTGGTGGACTCTGCCCAGCACCGTCCAGTTTATGACCAACTCCAGCTACCTGGGCAGGTGGAGTAGGGTGGGCAGGGAAGAGGCCCGCAGCCCCAGGGATCCACAGTAATAACTGCTTGGCCCACATTGTGGCCTGCTGCCACGTCCACTGTGGTGTTTTTTGTGGCACCAAGTCATCAACTGCTCCCCAAGAATGAGACAATTGTCCCCAATCCACAGCAAGGGTACACAGGTTCTATAAGGGAGAGTTGGCAGCCCTGGGACAGCCCTGAGTCAGACACATGGCCAGGCCTGGGTCCTGGGATTCCAACCGCAGGCCACTGCCCTCTGCTCAGCTCAGAGGAGAGCTACACACACCAGGCACAGAGGGGTCCATGACAAGACAGAGTCATCCTCCCCACCAGGCTACCCTCATGTCCCCTGGGGGGAATACAAGAGAGCAGAGCCTGGACCCCAAGGAGGCCGCGCTAGAAAGGGCAGTGGAGTTCTGGGGTCCCCTTGGTTTCCCAGGTCTCCCAGAAAGCAGGGCATGTCCTGAGGCCTGCCCCAGATGGAGAGGCCCCCCTGCCTGGGCACACGCATCTCTCAGGCACAGGCCCACATGGCCCACATGGTCCCCTGGGTATGCACCCACATGCAGACTGAGGCAACAGCTGTTTCCCAGCCCAGGCTGCCAGCAGCTTCCAGTGGCCTCTCTCCCTGCAGTCCCCTCAGGGCTTTGTGACAAAGGCTCGGGATGGGACACATGCAGGCAGGTGGGTGCACAAGTGGCTGGACCTGCTCCAGGGAACTTCAGCCCACCTCGTGGTTGTGGGGCCTCATGCTTGGGGGTCCCTGGGCCCACCCTGCACCCTACGTGGTCTCCCCAAGGCCATGCTCCATCTACCATAGACGCCTCCCCCTCCCCGTTCCTGCCTGTGAGGACCACACAGGAAGCCGCTGGCTTTGGCAGCTTTACTCCTCCACTTTCTGCAGCCTCAACATCACTTTCTCTGGGCCCCAAGGACAACCAGGGACATGTGACCCCACTCCAATGACCAGGCCTCAGGACCATGACCTCTCACCCCGGCCCTTCTGAGCCCACCTCCCATGGACACTGCCCTGGGGGTGAGAGGCAGCAGGGATCTCAAGGCTTTGCTGAGGCTCCAGGTCCAAGATGATCCAGATGCTGCCCAGCCTGAGCCCCAGGCCTGACCCTCCCAGCCTGGCCCATGTCGCTCCACCAGCAAGCTGCCAGCATGGCCCTGCTCACCAGGGACCCATCAGGAGGCAGTCTCCCTGGGGTAGGTACCTGAAACCCTGCCCCTCCCTAGGACCCAGAGAGGGCTTGTCTCCTGCAGCCCCGTCCCTCCCCTCCTGACCGTGGGCCTGGGACATAGAGAAATTCTCCAACAGGCAGGACTCAGGCCCCCAGGAGGATTCCAAGCCTGAACCAGGCCAGCATGCTGGGAGTCCATGTCTCCTGTTAGGGACATTCTCTCCAGCCCCTGGGCTCTAAGTGGTATGTTAGTCAGAGTGTGATCCTCGTGCAGTTGCCTCAGGCTGGGGTGGGCAGTTGCCCAGACATGTTCTTGGGTGTCACCTTGGGCAGCAGTGACACATGTCCAGATGTACAGTCTCCCCACCCCATGACTCCCAGGAGCCCGGTGAGCAGGTTCCAGGGCATTGGACTGGTGTCACCAAGGAGACAGATGGAAGATCCCAAAGGACCCCATGCCCACCAACACAGCCCCTCGCCCTTCCCCCAATGCCAGCCCTTAACAGTCCCAGGGTTGCCACCAGGAAGGGGCTGGTACTCATCAGCTGAGCAGGGATGGGCCCAAGAGGTGCCTATGCCCTTGCCTGGGGTCCTAGGGGGTTGGAGCATCTGCCCACCACACTCCTCACTCCATGGATGAGGCCCAGAGCTGGGAGTGGCCCTGCCCTGGGATCCCAGCACAAAGCAGTTGCCACAGCTCCTCCTGTCAGGCTGCTTTCTCCGTGGCCTTGGACTCTGGCTGCACAGACCCAAGTGAGGGGCAGCTGAGAGGGCAGGGGCTCTCCCTTTGAAGGGTGTGCCAGCAGGGGGTGGAGGGCTGGGAGCCAGGCAGGGCCAGAGGTGACCACAGCCAGTGTGGTGGACAGCTGGTGAGTGGGGAGCTGCTGGGAACACTGGAGATGGAGCCTGAGAGAGCATCTCCAGCCCAGCCCCAGCCGGAGCCCCACTGGGCCAGGGCCCTGCATCTGTTCCCTGCAGTCTCTACACAAAACTGGCTTCTGTGGTCCCCAGGCAGCACCTGCCGAGACTGGAGCTGAGGAGGGACAGTCTGCCTGGGAGCTGAAGGGTGAAATTCTCCCCCCACCCCTGTCCTGGTCGTGCTAGAGCTTCATCTATGATTCCCCTCGGTTGTGCCCCCACCCTTGCCAGGTGCTCAACCAGCAGAGAAAGACTACAGGCCTCAAGAACGAGCCAACGAGTAGGTGCCAGGCCCACCCTGGCGACAGCGTCCAGCTCCAAGCAGCAGCCGTGGGGGCAGGTTCTGGGCCCCATCTAAGGCACCTGGGCAGCCAGGTATGGGGGTGTGGAAGCTGCCTGTCTGCTCTGGGCTGGCAGTTCCCTGTGGGGCCTTTGCCTGCAGGTGAGGACAGCAGAGTGGAGCTCCAGCCACCATCCTCCAAAGTGTAACCCAGGGTCAGGCAGGCCCGCAGCCCCTCCTCATGCTTGGTCCTCCAGTAGAAATGGGCTTCTCCATCCATGTACAACAGCAGCAGGTCACAGAAGAAGGAGATCTGGGAGAGGCAGGGCAGACCCACGGCCTGACCCCCAACCTGCCATCACACTGCCTCATCAGCCCTCACCCTGAGATTCAGTGTCAGCCCAGGGGACTTGGTGGGGGACACTCAGGGGGCACTCAGGGGGTACATGCTTGCCAGCAGCTGGGGGGAGCCGTCTTGCCCAGATTCATCACACCCAGCAGAGCCACTCCAGTGCCCAGAGTGAGGGTTGTCGTGATGAGCCCAAACTTCCCTGCCTGAGACAGACCTGGGCTGAGCCTCTCTGGCTGTGGTTATCACCCCCTCCCACCCTTCACCACCAGCCCCCACCTGTCCTGGCCTGGCCCCTACCTGCCCAGTGACGAGGATGTCGAAGTGGACCCTACAGAGCTGAGCAGGCTCCGGGCCTCCCCGCCTGAGGCCTCCCCAAAGTGAGTGGCTGTCCTGGGGCAGGAGAGAGTCCAGTGGCTGCTCTGCCCACTCCTGGGCAGCCTGGCCCTCACAGGCTTCATCTTACTTATCCACTGACTCCATCCACCACCAGTCAGAGTCCTGGGTCTCAGCCCTGTGTCACTGCTGGGGACACAGGGGACAAGCAAGCTGGGACCTACCTCTCAGAAGCTCCCTGCCTGCTGAGGGGATGGGGACAGAAGGGTCCCTAAACAGACACTGGCAGTGGGGGTGGGGGAGGTGGAGCAGGCCCCGGGGATGTGGGGTCCACAGAGGGGCACTCACTCTCCCCAGAGAGCTCCTCAGGCTGGATTCCCAGGGCTCAGGAAGGAGCTCCAGGCAGAGACGGAGGGCAGGGAGAGAGCAGAGCGGAGGGGGCAGGGTGTGGGTGGGTCCAGCCCCACATGGTTGCACAGGGCTGGGGGGCCAGTGAAGTGAGGCCAGGATGGCCCAGCGGGTAGTGTCACCAGGCATCACCTCCAGGCCTAGTGGCTGTGTGCACATCTGTGTGAGGGTGACGAGGTGACATGAGGGGGCAGAAGGATGGGGATTCTGCTTAGAAACCTCAAAGACATGACAATCCATGCAACACAAGAGCCTTGAGTGCATCCTGGATCAGAAAATAAAAAGATTTAGGACAATTGTTGGCACAGCTGGGGAAATTCAAATATTCGATTTGTCTGCCAATTTTAAATTTCCTGAGTATGACAAGAGGACAGCGGTCACCTGGGGAAGGTCCTCATTCTCAGGACAGCTTTGCGGGGGGGGAGCTGGATATCTGCCACATACTTTCCAACAGTTTCCTGTGAAATCCATCTAAATATACCCAGCTCTCTCTAGAGAGGGAGAGTGAAAGCAAATGGGGCATTTGGTGAAAAAATAAATTTAAAAAAATATGATGAACCCAGATGAAGGCTATATGCATTTTCACAGTACTAATCTTTGAAGTTTTCTACAGTTGCTTTTTTTTTTTAGATAAAACCTTAAGGGAAAAGTAACAAGAAAGCCCCTGTGCCATGGAGGGAGGTGCTGGAGGCAGGGTGGAGTGGAGGAGGGGCTGGGGTGAGGGGTCCCAGCTGCAGCCGGGTGTGGGGACAGATGGGGTGGAGGCCAAAGGGCTCAGGAAAGAGGCTGGATGGAGCCTGTGCTGGGGGACCTGGAGCTGAGAGACCCCCTCCTGCCCTGGGACCCCCTCACACACAGCAGAGCGTCCAGAGGGATGCACCAGGCTGTGGTCTGTCCCGGGCACCACAGGAGGACAGGTTAGGAGGACCTGGCTGAGGAACAGTGGGCAGGTAGTGGGGCCGCACCTGAAGTTGTAGCTCCTCTCCTGCAGCTGGAAGGAGTCGTGGGGCCAGCAGTCAGAGCCCCTGGCGTCCCTGTCACAATCCCAGTGGATGTGGATGCAACAGCACCGCCCTGCACACAGCGCATCACTGCTCTGCCAGCACGTGGGCCCCAGACCATCTCCCAGAGCTGCCCCAGAACCCTCCCCCCATGGGCCCACCAGCAATACCAGGTCCTCAAAGACCCCTCCAGCCATGGCCATGAAGTCCCTGATGTGGAACACAGGGCAATAGGGGCTGAAGTGTGGGTCATAGCAGCAGAGATTGACACAGATGGTGTCCCAGGTCTCCAAGGCATTGGACCTGAGAAGGGGTGGGGCTGGGGGGTCAGGCCAGAAGGGGACAAGGAGGATCAATGCCAGGCAGGACCCACCTTGCTTACTTGGAGAAGTTGAACTTGCTGAAGGTGACAGTGATTTTGATGAACAGGATAGAGTTCTCAGCCTTGACCAGCAGGGGCTTCCTGCAGGTGGGGGAAGGTAAGGGGCAGGCTCTGCTGGTCCTGGGACCCTGCCCTAGTTGTCAGGGACACTTACACAGGCACAGTGCCACTCTCCATGGGACACCAGATCTCACAGGTCCTGTGGGTCCCATTGGACACCACACACTGGCCCATTTTTATGCCTTGAAAACATGAGACAAACTCCAGGCCTCCAATCCCCACAGGGCCTGGGAAGCAAGTGGGCAGGGGACTGCTGGCAGAAAGAAGAGATGCAGAGGCACCACCAGGCCTGCATGTGGTAGCCTCCCAGGGTCCCAGCCCAGCCCCCGAACCCCACCCCAGTGGAGGCGCTGGAAGCCAGGGTCCACAATGACCATGGCTGTACGTCCCTGTCTTCCCTCAGGATAGTCCTCATCAGCCCAGCAGGTCCCCAGTGGGATGGAGGGAGCTGAGGTGGTGAGAGAGTAGAGGTGTCCAGACCCAGGAGGTGTCTCCCCTGCGCGATCCAGCCCTGCAGTCCCCAGGGACACACCCCTCCCCTGCTTAGCCCCGAGGTTCCCTGAGTTTGGGGACATGGGAAAGCTGGAGGGTGCAAATAAAAGGAGGTGGTCACAGGGGGAGGACAAGCAGTCCCCGGGCCAGATAGGGGTGCAGCGCTGTCTCACAAGGCAGACCAAGACTCCTTCCCTCCTGACAGTTCTGTCCCTGGGGGAGCAGAAGTGACTCCTCCAGACCCAGCTCCTCTGGTCCAATTCAGATGCCAGAATAGGGAAGGTGGAGGGACTCTGGGAGGGTGAGCTCATGCCAGCGTGGAGGTGCTGGGTGTGGCACACAAAGGGCAGGACGCTCCTCAGAGGGGCCTGTAGGGAAGTAGGACTCCACACACAGGGCAAGGGACCACAGGCCAGTCCCTTCCTGGCTTGTTCTGCTGTAAACAGGGACATTAGTGCCTGCACAGGGTCACAAAGTTCTGGGCATCAGCCAGGAGGGGACGGGGGCGAACTCTCTGGGAGCCCCAGACCCTGGAGAGGAAGCACCCTCAAGCGTCAGGCACTGGCACAGACATGGCTTTGCCAGGTGGAGGGTGGACGCCACTGTCCAGGGCCCCTGGCTCAGGGGCAGCAGGAGGAACACAGTACCAGGGTGGCAGGAAGGGCTGGGGACTTGGAGAAGCCAAAGGAGACGGTGGGACTTTGTGGGGGTGGGACTGTGAGAAGTGGGCAGAGGGCAGCATGGGGCCACCTGCTCTGCCTCGCTGTCCCTACCTATGTCCTGAGTCTGCCCCTCCTCTCCACCCTGGCTGAGCCACCATCTCCTCTGACCAGTTCCCTTGGTGACCAGCCAAGGCCCCACCTCTGCCCCCGTCCACCTCCCTCCAGCAGCCCACATGGTCCATCCCAATGCACATATGGTCATGTGCCCTCCCGAGTCCGTCTGTGGCTCTGCTGCTGCTGGATCCACTTCAGCTCCTGAGAGGGGCTCACAGGCCCTGTGATCCAGGGTGACCCCCTTCCTGTCCCAGTCCACATCTAGGGACAACCCCACTCAGTGCAGGGAGCCCTGGAGGGGCCTCATCTCACACAGCTCGGGGCCTCTGCCCACACAGCCCCCTCTGCCTGGATATCCTCAAGACCTCCCTCCAGCCTCACGTCCTGCAGGAAACCCTTCCCGAGGCCCCAGATCACCTGACGTGCCTCCCTGGGTCTCCCAGCTGCAGCTTCTGCCCCCATCGCAGAACCGGCCGCCTTGGCTGCTCTATCTGTGCAAGGACTCCATGAGGTGGAGTTTTGTAAGCCTGGTCTGGGGCAGGCTTGGCGGGTGTTTGCTGGAAATGTGACACTACAAGGACACAGTGCATGTGCTGGGAGGGACCAGACGACCAGGCCCCTCAGAGGAGCTGGCAGGAACTCCCCTATTCTCAAGAAGCAGGCTTGTCAGATCTGATGGATTACCCAGCCCTGGCGGTTTCGAGGGAAGGTCCCCTCCCCTTCTTGACCCCTCCTCTGGGCACTCTCCAGGCTGTCAATGTAACACCCAGAACTGGGCACAATGCTTAGGTGGGCTCTAATAGCTAGAGCCAAGCTATCACCTCCCCTTCTCTATGTCCAGCCTCTGTTAATGTGTCCTGGGGAAGCTTCTGTTTGTGGGCAAACACAGCACACTCCTTCTCACGTTGAGCGCTGGGTCACTTATGATCTCTGGATATTTTCATGACAACCGTGGTCAAGCCAGAGTGCCCCACCCTATTCTTGCAAATTCATGCAGAAATGTAGACTCTCCCAGGAAATCTCACCTTTTCCTGTCACCCAGGGACGTCCCAGTGGTCCAGCCTCTGTGGCAGAGCACACTCGCCCTCCTCCCCAGCTGTGGATGTGTTTCCAATTTCTGTTATTGCCATAAAATACATGTGCCATAAAATTTACCATCTTAGCCATTTTTCTGGTCACAGTTCCTCAGTTGTGGATTTTGCCTGAACAGTTGGGACCCAGGACACAGCCCTGGAAACCTACCTCCATGGCGACATCTTTCTTTAACTGAATCTAACACCGAATCGCTTGCTGCGCTGGAGGGTAATTGTGTGGGCACCAGTCCCCTGAGTCCCGGTCATTTGTCCCACCACCTCGTCTATAACGAGGTGAGGCCCGTGCACAGAGGCTGTGCTGACTTTCGGAAACACACAAGATGTCCTCCACTTTCTAAATGCTCAGAGACATCTAGTCAATGTTCAGTTTGTAGAACATCCTGAAACTGTGCTGGGGCCACGGTTCTGTGTTTTCTGGAATCCATGTGATCCTCTTTGTCCATGTCTCTTTGTTCTCTCTGAGGTGTCCAGGCCCCTCCTCATCTTGGCCCCTCTTCTGTACACTCTCCAGGCTGACAGTGTCCTGGCGTCCTGACCTGACCCATGTCCACCTCCCTGTCTTCAACAGCTCTAATCAAGCATAAGGGTCACCTGTCACCCTGGGTTAGGAGTATACACTCCTGGGCCTCGATCTGTTGAACCAGACTCTTGGGGGGGATGCCTGTGCACCCACATTTTAGCAGGTGCCCCAGGAGATTTGTCTGATTGAGAAAGTCTGGGAGTCACTGCTCTGTCTTAAGCTGCTTAGAACACGTGGGGTGGCACCAGCCTTGGCCTGTGGGAATCAGCCCTAGGATCTGACTGCCAGACAACCAGTTTACCTTCTAAGAAAATTGCCATGGGAAGTCAGTGAAATTACGAAAGAAGCTCATTTCAGACTTTCCACAAACCAAGTGCAGGTGTCCCTCTGGGATGCATGGTCAGAGCGCAGGCACCAGAGAGGCAGCTGGGAGGGAGGGGCTAGAGGCCAAGGCCTGTGAAGGCTGCACAAATACGGGAGGGGCGGTCTTCAGCCTGGAGGACAGACTCTGCAGGGCCATTTTGTTTCCCCAAGAGGGGCTCTGTGGGTGGGCCCAATTCCCTGGAGGTGGAGGAGCTTGGGTCCAGTCTCCCTACCTGACCTATGGCGATTGTGGCACCTGCCACATAGGGTGGCTTCAGGAGACACAAAAACCAAGCCTGGGAACCACAGGAGGCTGACTCCTGCCTGTAGAAGAACCTTCTCACCCTCCAGCTGCTCAGCAAGGAAGGGGCTTCCCTACACAGTGGGAGACCACGGCCCTCTCCTCCCAGCCTGGAAGGGTCTGAGGAAGGAGAAGTTCCCGCATCTGGGAGCCTGGGGCTTAGGCCCGGCGCTGGGCCTGGAGTCTGCGCGCTGTTCTCAGGGAGGCTGTACAGGGGCCGTCCCTCCTGCAGGGAGCTCTCCGCGGTGCTGAAAGTGTCCGCCCCGGCGCGTCGGGCCCCGCGGGCTGGCTGAGCGCTCTGCCCAGTCAGTGCATCTGTTTTCCTCTGTGCATTTCTTCAGACCTGCCTTCCCAGACCTGTGTTGGGTGCTGGGACCATGGAGAGGGGTCAAATTCAGGTCCCTGAGGGCCCCCGGGCTGGTGGGAGAGACTGGCCAGGCAGAGAGAGTTCTGATGGCCAGAGCCTGGAAGGAGGGAATCACAGTGGACATGGGGCCCGAGGCTGCCCAGTCCAGCCAGGTGAGCAAGGCTTCCTGACACTGTGACCCCAGATAAGAAGGAGGAGGAGC